AAACAAAACACTGTTTTTCATTAGTTATTGATGTTTTCCACTCTACCTTCATCACCAACTTGACTGGTTTTTTTGTCATCATATAAACATACTAGTAGGACCCGCACAAGTGCACTGACTAGACACAGTCTATTTTCTTCAATGAGCATTGCATGAGATAGTTCACAGATGTGAAGCTCTTATAATAAATCAATAAAGTATAGCTATAACTTTGAAAGCTATAGGTCATTAGTTTTCTAATTTTGGTATCTTTTCCTTAACACAATAGGAATGATGAGCCATTTATTAACGGTGATCAAAATTAGTTTCCAAATAACAATAATTATAATAATACTGCTAGTTTGGTAATCCCATAATAGTTTTACGGGAAGAAAGGCTTTTTTAATTGACAGGGATAACCCCCCCTCCCCCAAAAAAACACATGAAAAGGACTTTTCATGTTTCTATTTCTTTTTCTTTTTGCAGGCACCTTCTCAAATCATGAATTGTGGACAAAAATTATATTATTTTTTTTTCTCAAAAATTATATTCTTTAGAATAAATTTGGCCCATAGAAAATACTGTAAAAAAAATCACTTTCTTTATTAACATGAATTTTCAGTGATTCATGGAAGCATACAGTTTCTAGAAATTATTCAGAAAGGTAGGGAAATTTGCATAAGAAAACTATGATATTTGTACAGATATAGACCCAGGGTGGTGAATTTAGGCAGTTAGGCAAACTCTAGTTATCAAGAGTTAAAAACAAAAAGAAAAGAAACAGGGCAAACACTGGTGATTTCCCCCTTCAGCTTTATTCATATTGAATATCAACTTTAATCATAAACATTAAGTCACCACTTTTCTCTGCAGCACTGAATTGGCCTATTTGTGAATAAGCTCCCACGCATGTATTCCAACAGCTCAGAATCTCAGAGGGAAGACAGAGCAACAGGAAAGGTGGAGCTGAAGGTATTAATCACTGGTGACTTTCTGTTCTAACCACTCACTCCAGTAGGGTGTCATACATAAAAACTAGAAGGCTCACCATACCTCTGAATATTTTAAAAGAAAGGAAAAGGAGTGCACGTTTTCCCTCCTCCGAGGGAATCAATATTTAGAAAACACTGTGCCAGAAGCCACACCCTTGCAGATGATTGCTGCCGACCATCTTCCTTCCTGAGCTCCTGGACTCACAGCTGTAAAGAATCCGAACTGAGCAGATAAGCCACCCAGATGTTAAAAAGGTACTTAAAAAAAAAAAAAAGAGTGGAAGCAAAACACTACCACTGGATTTTTCCAAGCAGAGGGCAAGTAACGACTACATTCCCTAATACCAAACTCAGCAAATGTCAAAACAGAACACTTTCTTGTCCTTGGTATGGTATGATTGTTTTTTGCTTGTTTTTGTCTTTATCATTTTGATTAACCACTTTTAGCCCATCTACCAATTTGGCATATTTCATTTTCAAGGGTGGCTTAGTTTAATGAGATTTTCACTGCATTAGCACAAACTCTTATCTCCAGCCTGGGTGGTGGAGTTAGGCTGCTAACCACAAGGTCAGCAGTTTGAAACCACCAGCTGCTCCATGAGAGAAAAATAAGGCTTTCTGCTCCTGTACATAGTTACATCTCCTGAAGCCACAAGAACTGTGTTTTATCTGTCGCGTGCCATGGGGTCACTGTGTGTAAAATTGACTCAAGGGCAGTGAGTTTGGTTGGGGGATTTTGGTTGTTGTTTTTAATTCCCAGCAATCCTTTAAAGAAAAGTAGATTTCCTTTAAACCCTTATCATTTCCTCTTTAAAATGTCATGAGGACCTTCACGACTGGCTTTTAAGTGTGCCCAATTTCCCTAAGGTAAACCGGGCATTGTTCCTCTCCTTACTTAATTCATAAAGAAAAAGAAGCTCAACCCACCTTCAAACACAAGTCTTGCCACTTCACCACTTCCTTCGCCTCCTCCCACCTCACTGGCCTCTGTCCTTGTGAAGGTGAAGGCACAATCGGTACTTAAGCACACATTTGCACAATTTGTGCTCAAGGCCAGTGCACAATCTGACGACCTAGCTGATGTCTCTGGGAGAAAGTGGGAGGTGTGACCGTCTCGGAAAGCCACGGAGGCGATTCCGCCATCCTATCCTATTGACTCACTCCGAGTTGGGATCAACCCGATGGCGAGCATTGAGCCCAGATGTCCTCAAGTAGAGATGCCACATTTCTTGGGTAACCCAGAGGTCATACGTGGCCCGGCCAATGCTTACAACTCCTTGCCTGAGTTTCAAACCCTGAATCACACCCTGACTTGCCTTTGAACAACACAGTGCTCTCTCTCGACTCATTTTATTAAGGGTTCGTTCTTATTTCCCTCCCCCCGCCCGCCCATCTGTCCCCTTGGAAAGTTCTGGGAACTTTCAGGATACCTACAAGCGGAATTTAAGCTCTGTAATTCCCAAGGCACTAACGTTTCCCTTCCTAACACAAATATCCCAGGGTCCGGGAAGCGCAAGGGAAGAAAAGGACAGCGTGGTTGGAGTGAGGGATGGGGAACGAGACTGACTCCTCTTTTACCACTGGGCACGCAGCCCACCTCCGCCTGGGCGCTCTCCTCACCCCACCCCTGCTTCCTTTTCCACCGGGAGCTCCGGTCTGCGCTCCAGCGGACTGGCCTAGATTTGAACGAACACCTCTCAGCAAATACCTTTAAAAAAGAATAATAATAAACCCTCCGGAGGTTTAGGCAGCGTGGGGAGCCCAGGGAGAACCCGGCGGAGGCGCCCAGCGCCTGCCGCTGCCAACGCCTGGCTTTTCTGGTGCTTTTCAGCGTTCTCTGGGGTAAATACTTCCAACTTCGGGGTCATGCCCAGAGTTTTAACGAACTACTTGACTCTGTGGATCTCAACAGAACACAGAAAATCCTTTCCAGGCACAAAACCCATGGCTGCATTTCTGGTTAACCGACTGGGTTACCATTCAGATTTTACCATTTTAAAAATAAATCTGTATTCATTTCGCTTACTGGCAGGCTCTCTAGCAACTCTAACTTCTAAGAAATCCCCCAGGGCTCTCCAGCTGGCCACGGGTTCGGCAGACGGGGCACCGAGGCTGGGGGGGTCAGCCCCCTCCGCGGGGGATGAACCCCGTTCGCCCTGTTCTCGGGTCCTCGGAGAGGGTTTGGTACCGGCACCGGGACGAAACCGCCACTCTTTTCCGGGATCCTTCCCCAGAATTGCCAACGTGGTCGGGCGAGAGCTTCCCTTCCCGAGGGTCTCGGTCTTTGCACGGGGCTTTTGCCAACACCACGTCTACAGACAGTGTGAAAAACCTTACGAGCCCAACTCTGAATCTTAAACTGGTCTTAAAACCGTTTTGTTTTACTGGGGACAATCCTCAGCAGCGACCACGTGGAGCCCGGGAACCACAGAGTTTTAACAAAGCACTCGGTGGAGAAGAAGTTCACGTTGCGAGGCTAAGGAAGACCGGATCTGGATTTCCATCCGAAAAAGCACCAAGTTCAGCCTGCTATAGGAAGTACGCTGAGCAAACGTACACTGGCGTTGGCGAGACGTCAGACAACGTTCCAGCCCAGGCCCCCGACCCCCAAACATTTAGAGTTCCTAAGACTATTACTAATTACAAAAAAAGGAAGAAAAAGCAACATTTTACACTTGGGGACCATATATGCCGGAATGAAGTATAAGGAATATCCAGCAAACTAGTTTTCTTCTAATCAGAAAGATGTGACCCTAATCTTACCTGTGCCATCATTAATAGAAACCTTTTAAGAGTCAGAACACAAATTCAGTACAATTTTTGTCGTTAAAACTACTACAGAAACATTTTCAAGTTCATTCTACTCTTGAGAGGTGTCGGACGTCAAAGTTACTTTTTCATCCTATTTGAAAACGTTAGAAAAGTCTTACTTCGAGCAGAAGAAAAGCGTAGGTAAAGTGTTGTTTAACTTACTTTCTCCAAGAAGTGAAGTAGGCACCCCCAGTGAGTGAACTCCTTGCAAGAGGAAGAAGAAGGAGCAACTTACGGCCCGGCGCTCAGACCTGTCTATTTAAAGTTTAAAAGTCTGCTGCTGTCTGGTCCTTTCCTCACTTCTTCCCTCTAATGAAAGAAAAGTGCTGATATCTCGTAAAAGCTTTTTTCTAACTTGGAGCACGGAGCTTTTAAAAGTTTCAAGCCACTGACTCAACTAGAAGGAGGGGCTAGGGAAAAAAAGAGGAGGGGAAAAGAGGGAGGCGGGAGGAGAGCCCTGGAGGCTGGTGAGCGTGGAGGGTGGGGAGAGCAGCCGCGCTGGAGGAGCGAGGTGGAGATAATGTTGCGGTGCAAATTTGCTGACAAGAATAAAGCCACATAGCATTAAATAGAGACGTGAGTGTCCCGACAGGGAGTTACTCCTTAACAGACAGCCAGGGGGGCGGATTTTATTCCTTGTTTCACCAAAAATTCTAGGGAGTTAAAAAAAAGGGGGGGAAGAAAAAAAAAAAAGGAAAGTTGCTACCTTTTCTAAAATAAAAGTACTTCGTAGTCCATAAAAAGCGTTGGCAAAGAAATTAGGACGTGCAAACTTGCTTCATATTGGCCAAGGTGTGTGGGTGTGAGTGACCTGGTGGCTGATGTAATCGCTTTTCTCCTAAGGAGAGACAATTAACAAAGGAAATGGTGAGGATGGGTCAGGGATATTTCAAAAGTGCCTCTTTGTGGCTGACTAGCCAGCCTTTCCGTAGGAATCCTTTGACACTTAAGATGTTTTTACTTTTCCCTGCAGTTTAGCAAAAGCGTACATATGAGCTGGTTTCCAAGTTTTCGTGGAAAAATTCCATTATTTTTTAATTCCATTTTCCCATGAACTTTTCAAAACTTCTCTCGTGTGTGTGTGTGTGTGTGTGTGTGTGTGTGTGTAGTCAGTGTTGTTTAACCATGATATATCAATTTCTAATCTCTACCAGATCTCCAGGCAGTTGAAAATGTATTATATGATCTTGGACAAATACAGATCAACACAGTAAAAATTAAATATTTTGCAGGGAGCAGGCTGATCTATTTCTATCAAATGTAAGCAAAAGTTGGCATTGGGTGAGTTCGAACATGATCCGTCCTCCCTCCTTAGATCACCTCCATCTGTAGAACTCAGCGGGAGAGCTTCCTGCTCAAGGACGGTCAAGCTGCATAACAATCTTTATGTGCTTCTCTGCCCCTTCTGTGGCTCTTCCTTTCCAGGACTCTGCCCAGGGTGGAGAGTGACCAGAGTCTTAGACAGGGCTGCTCCTTCAAGGCCTCCTCAGTGCCAGGCAGAAGGCTGCGGAAGGACAATTTCCCATAAACAGGCTTCCATGATGTGCCTGCGAGTGGACAGGGAAACCTCGTGGCCATTATTCTTCGAAACTAAGCAAACTCAACAGCCATCATTTTCCTAACCCTTTTCTCACTGTTCCAATACTAGAGAAAGGTAGAACGGCAATTATTTCATTGGAAATACTCTTCATAAGTTCATTTTCACTGAAGTGATTAGTAAGACATCTTCTGAAAATGTTATCGTTTTAGTACATGATTTTGTGCTTTCATTTTCTGGCTGTACATTTCCCAAAGACATGTGTCTCTTTAGGCTAAGGAAGAATTTTAAAAAATACCGTGGAAATAAACATTGTAATCTGATTTCCAAGCCTTTAAACTCAGCAACCTGTAAATATTGCTCTTGGTATTGTAGTTATATTGTCATTTTCTTCAAAAGAGTGTATTTCTTTAGCATTAACTAAAGCTTATTTCATTGGATTTCTCATATATCCATGAATACATGATTTACTGTTTTCATTATTAACAAAATTTGTGTTCTCCATAAAAAAGTATATACCTAATTTAACAAGGTACTTAGTTTACTTTTGTGAAATTATCTATCAAGTACTATTATTGCTGATATTATCCATTTGATGCTTCAGGTTCTAATTCAGAATTAGTAGTATGAAAGAAAGTTATAATTCTCTTTCTATCATAGGATTTTTGAAGCAAAACTGCATTTATTTTAAAATGTATTTTCGTAAATCTCTAAAAGAATACTTATATGTAAATATTCTACTACTGTTTGCAAATTTGGCCTGTATGAGCAATTAGAAATAAAACTAAGTCGTTTCTTTGTGCCAAAACACATTATTCATGGATATTTCTTGCACCATTTTCTGAAGCAAAAGCAAGCAAGCAAACAAACAAACAAAAAGTGCAGTGTCATCAAGTCAATTCTGACTCATAGTGAACCTATAGGGCAAGGCAGGGCTGCCCCCTTGAGTTTCCAAGAGTGCAAGTCATTCGTTACTGGAGCAGGAAGTCTCATCTTTCTCCCACAAAGCAGCTTGCTGGTGGTGGGTTTGAATGGCAGACCTTCTGGTAACAACCCTGTGCATAACCCATTACTCCACCCAGGGCTCCTTCTGAGCAAAAGGATTAGTTACACCATAAATCACCAATCCACTTGTTTTCTTAATAGAATGTACTGTGTCTTCCATTTCTAATACGATTATAATTCATTGAAGATGAAGATTTCCCTTGTGGCCTTCTCTTCCTGATGGCACCAGAATGTGGCCCTGTGAGCAATGATGCTCCAGGGGAGCTGGGTTGGTGTGACTGGCTTCCCTGCTGGCACAGTGGCGACACAACTTTCTCTCAAATGACTAATAATAATGCCTCTTATACTTCATACTCCAGCAGTGCTGGCGACTTAACATTTTAACAAAAAATATCATTATTTTTAAAGTGTCCTATTTACCTGAGAGTAAAAGCTTGTTTCTGTCTGAAGGTCACATTGTGGCAAAGGTTTTTTAAATGCCTTATTTTTTTCTCAGAGTCTCAGAAATACCAATGCTAGTTTGTGGATAGAAGCACCAATTTCTCAATAACTGTGTTCTCTGATTGTCAGACCTTGTCTATGTGCAGAGGAAAGGGTAGCTGTTAGTTGATGTGGGGTTGGTTCGGACCCATATCGACCACAGGTACAGTAAAACAAGTGTTGCCAGATCTTCTTTTTTTGTTCGCCCTTTACTTTACCAAGCACAATGCCATTTGGGGGGAAATAGGAGCAGATAGTCTGATTTTCTCAGGAACGCTGATCACTCATTCGGAATGCCTATCAACGGCAGGATGTCTATCTTCAGGCATCACCATAGGCCAGGCTTTGAGAATCTATTTGATCCAAGTGGTTCTGTGTAGTGAAAACCGTGAACTAACAACATAGTGAAGATTGAATAATTTTTTGCAGAGTTTAGAGAAGCACTTAAAAAAATTAAAAACAGTCTTATTGGCACATAGCGTATATATCATACAACTCAATGGCTCAATCACTTCAAGAACAGTTGTACGAAAGAAGCACTTTTGAATAAAACCCATGACACTTTTGCAATTTTTGCCTTGGTTTCAAAATACTGATCTCTGGGATTCTCAAAGACAAATCTACTAATTTTTAAGGACTTCAAGTGCCAGACAAAAACAACAACAACAACAGCAGCAGCAACCCAAACTCATAGCCATTGAGTTGATTGTGACTCATAGATGCTATAGGACAGGGCGGAACTGCCCCTGGGAGTTTCCGAGACTGTAACCGATTAAGGGAGTAGAAAGTCTCATCTTTCTCCAGCGGAGCTGGTTGAGAGTTTCCAACAGCTGACTTTGTGGTTAGCAGCCCAACATAGAGCTTGGATGGTATTATACTTATGCACTGGGCTGCAATTCAAAAGGTCAACAGTTCGAAACCACCAGCTTCTCCAGAGGAGCAAGCTGGTGCTTTCCTACTCCCCTAAAGAGTTAGAGTCTTGGAAATTCACAGAGACCCTCAGTTCTGTTCTGCCCTGTCACAGAGTCATTCTGAGTCAGCATCAACTCCACAGCAGTGTTTAATGCCAGTCCCACGTAAATTCAAATGGGTTCTTTTACCTTCAATGCAGAACATCAACATTGAAGTGTTGTTGATGGTTGCAGGTAAGGAGGAGTCTCTGTGTGGTACAAATGGTTGGCTCTCTTGGCTGATAATGAAAAGATTGAGCAGTTTGAATCCAACTGAGGACTGCATTGGCATCTACTTCTGAAAAACCAGCCTGGGAAAGCTCAAAGCTCGATGGAGCACAATTGTTTTCTAACAAGCATGGAGGCATCAGGTGGCAGAACTGATTTCCCCACAGTTGGTTTGGTCAATTAGGGAGTAAGTAGTCCAAGGGGTGTATAGTGATCGAAGTCTGACTTATAGGAACCTGAGGCCTGGCGCTGTTGCTGTTCATTGTGTTTGAGTGGAATAGAATCCAGGGAGCCCTCATGTCTCAGTGGGGTATGCACTGGACTGGTATCCACAGTTCAGCAGTTGAGAAACCAAAAACTTGTTCTCATGGAGAGAGATGAGGCTTTCTGCTTCAATGCAGATTTATCTACACCTCTGAAACCACAAAGTGTAGTTCTACTCTGCCCTGCAGGGTTGCTGTGCACTGGAATCAACTTGATGGCAGTGAAAATGGAGCTTTTTTTTCTTCATAGTAAGGGCTACTATGAGTGGAAAAGGAAGCAAAGGCAGGAGAAGTAGAAGGAATAGAAATTGATGGCTGAGACCGGGATAGGAAGGACGAGAGAGAGAGAGAGAGAGAGAGAGAGAGAGAGAGAGAGAGAGAGAAAGAGAGAGAGCTGTGAAACTGAACTGATTTTGGAGTTTTGATCAGAAAACTTGTAATGTTACAAACAAAAACTGAAGAATGAAAGAAGAAGAACTAGTTTGAAGAAACAAATATCATTTCATTTTGACATGGAGAACTGACACATCTCTAGATAAAGTTTTCTAACATTTGGGAATTCGGTGAGTCATTAACTTAGAAAACAGGACCATATACCTGTTTTGAGACTGTAAGCCATAAAGACAAAGGTGATTTGAAGGAGAAAACAGGGGCATTAGAAAACTTCTATTTGAAGATTGTACAACTCTGTAATCTCTTCAGGGAAACTTAAAGGAAATTCTAGAAGAAGAAAAAAGTTTTATCTAAGACAAGGGAGGGTCTAGGATGGTTTTGTAATGGAAAGAGTTAGCCTTGTCATATGGATTTCTTTGCATTAGTATAATAATAGTGAATTTCCTATCTATGCACCAAAATTCCATTTTATCTAGTATTGACTGGGCACCTAGAAAGG